AATCCTCAAATCACGGACCCAATCCGCATCATTTCTACGAACAGCTTTCAATTTATTTTTCTCTAGGAACATATCGAAAATAAACGGGGAAGCTATGTGCGAGCTATTGATCTACAACATAGATATGCAAATACTATCACGACTAAGTTCATGATAAATTTAAGTTCAATTAATCATATTACTTAAGAACTCCCACTTAGATAGGCATCCCTCTAATCATCTAAGTGATCACATGATCCAAATCAACTAAACCATGTTCGATCATCACGTGAGATGGAGTCGTTTTCAATGGTGAATATCACTATGTTGATCATATCTACTATATGATTCACGCTCGACCTTTCAGTCTCCAGTGTTCCGAGGCTATATCTGCATATATCAGGCTCGTCAAGTTTAACCCGAGTATTTCTGCGTGTGCAAAACTATCTTACACCCGTTATAGATGAACGTTGAGCTTATCACACCCGATCATCACGTGGTGTCTCGGCACGACGAACTTTGGCAACGGTGGATACTCAGGGAGAACACTTTTACCTTGAAATTTAGTGATCAATCAAAACAGAATAAGATGGATAAAAGATAAACATCACATGCAATCAATATATATGTGACATGATATGGCTATGATCATCTTGCGCCTTTGATCTCCATCTCCAAAGTACTGTCATGATCTCCATCGTCACTGGCATGACACCATGATCACCATCATCTTGATCTCTATCAATGTGTCATCATATGGTTGTCTCGCCAACTATTGCTTTTGCAACTATTGCTATCGCATAGCGATAAAGTAAAGCAATTGTATGACGCTTGCATCTTATGCAATAAAGAGACAACCCTAAGGCTTCAGCCAGTTGCAGATAACTTTAACAAAACATGATCATCTCATACAACAATTTATATCTCATCACGTCTTGACCATATCACAGCACAACATGCCCTGCAAAAACAAGTTAGACGTCCTCTACTATGTTGTTGCAAGTTTTACGTGGCTCCTACGGGCTGAGCAAGAACCGTTCTTACCTACGCATCAAAACCACAACGATGTTTCGTCAAGTTAGTGCTGTTTTAACCTTCAATAAGGACCGGGCGTAGTCACACTCGGTTCAACTAAAATTGGAGAAACTAACACCCGCCAGCCCCCCTATGTGCGAAGCACGTCAGTAGAACCAATCTCGCGTAAGCGTACGCGTAATGTCGGTCCAGGCCGCTTCATCCAATAATACTGCCGAACCAAAGTATGACATGCTGGTAAGCAGTATGACTTGTATCGCCCACAACTCACTTGTGTTCTACTCGTGCATTTAACATCTACGCATAAACCGTCTCGGATGCCACTGTTGGGGAACGTAGTAATTTCAATAAAATCCCTACGCACACGCAAGATCATGGTGATGCATAGCAACGAGAGGGGAGAGTGTCGTCCACGTACCCTCATAGACCGTTAAGCGGAAGCATTATGACAACGTGGTTGATGTAGTCGTACGTCTTCACGATCGACCGATCCTCAGTACCGAACGTATGACACCTCCGCGTTCAGCACACGTTCAGCTCGGTGACGTCCCGCGAACTCACGATCCAGTAGAGCTCGAGGGAGAGTTTCATCAGCACGACAGCGTGGTGATGATGTTGATGAAGCTACCGTCGCAGGGCTTCGCCTAAGCACCGCTACAGTATGACCGAGGTGGATTATGGTGGAGGGGGGCACCGCACACGGCTGGGTGAGATCAATGATCAACTTGTGTGTTCTAGGGTGCCCCCTGCCCCCGTATATAAAGGAGCAAGGGGGAGGCCAGCCGGCCCTTCTAGGGCGCGCCAGGAGGAGGAGTCCTCCTCCTAGTAGGAGTAGGACTCCCCTTTCCTACTCCTACTAGGAGGAGGAAAGGAAGGAGGAAGGGGAGAAGGAAGGAGAGTGAGGAAAGGAGGAAAGGGGGGCGGCCCCCTAGTCCAATTCTGTTTGGGCTAGGGGGGCGCGCACCCCACCTTCTCTCTTCCACCACTTGGCCCATGAGGCCCAATACTTCTTCCCCGTATTCCCGTAACTCCCCGGTACTACGAAAAATACCCGAATCACTCGGAACCTTTCCGATGTCCGAATATAGTCGTCTAATATATCGATCTTTACGTCTCGGCCATTTCGAGACTCCTCGTCATGTCCCCGATCTCATCCGGGACTCTGAACTACCTTCGGTACATCAAATCACATAAACTCATAATACCGATCGTCACTGAACGTTAAGTGTGCGGACCCTACATGTTTGAGAACTATGTAGACATGACCGAGACACGTCTCCGGTTAATAACCAATCACAGAACCTGGATGCTCATATTGGCTCCTACATATTCTACGAAGATCTTTATCGGTCAAACCGCATAACAACATATGTTGTTCCCTTTGTCATCGGTATGTTACTTGCCTGAGATTCGATCGTCGGTATCTCAATACCTAGTTCAATCTCGTTACCGGCAAGTCTCTTTACTCGTTCCGTAATGCATCATCCCGCAACTAACTCATTAGTCACATTGCTTGCAAAGCTTATAGTGATGTGCATTACCGAGAGGGCCCAGAGATACCTCTCTGACAATCGGAGTGACAAATCCTAATCTCGATCTATGCCAACTCAACAAGTACCATCGAGGACACCTGTAGAACACCTTTATAATCACCCAGTTATGTTGTGACGTTTGGTAGCACACAAAGTATTCCTCCGGTAATCGGGAGTTGCATAATCTCATAGTCATAGGAACATGTATAAGTCATGAAGAAAGCAATAGCAGTAAACTAAAACGATCAAGTGTTAAGCTAACGGAATGGGTCAAGTCAATCACATCATTCTCCTAATGATGTGATCCCGTTTATTAAATGACAACTCATGTCCATGGTTAGGAAACATAAACATCTTTGATTAACGAGCTAGTCAAGTAGAGGCATACTAGTGACACTTTGTTTGTCTATGTATTCACACATGTATTATGTTTCCGGTTAATACAATTCTAGCATGAATAATAAACATTTATCATGATATAAGGAAAAAAATACTAACTTTATCATTGCCTTTAGGGCATATTTCCTTCAATGAGTGCCAGAGTTGTTGCTGCGACGGCCACCCACGGCGCAGGGAGGCAATGTGTCGATGCGATGTTGTAACGGCCACTGGTGATGATGCGAGGGAAGGCATGAAGTTGCTGCTGTGAGGCGATGTTCTGACAGCCTTGGCGGCTGGATGGAGGATCCGAGGTGCGTGCTGCGAGGCGATCATCAATGCGATTAGGAGGCGGTATGATATGAGGGATGTGCCAAGGAAAGGGTTATGCTACGAGGGAGATGGAGAAGGAAGGTCCTAGTCAGCGCGCCCCGAAGCGAAACTGGCGCTCATAGGGGAATCTACTGGGCCGGCCCATGAACACGTCACGCACCGAAATACCGTAGCACAAAAACATACAGAAAAAGCGGTCGTAGCCAGGGATCGAACTCACGCCGCAACAGTACTGCAAGAGACTAGCTACCACTGTATCACTCACGTGCTAGTTATCGAAACCAGCGCGCATCTCTAAAAAACTATTAGACACAAGTTCACTAATTTGAGAAACAATGTTCACCAATTGAATAGTGTGACTAGTTGACCGTTGACTGTTTAAAAGATATGTGTATGCTTCTTTGAAAAATCAGGAATTAAAAAAATATTCACAACAAAAAGTTCAAGGGTTAAAAAAAGGTTGATGAATTTAAATGAAAAAAATCACAAAAATGAAAATAGTTCATCGAATTTGAAAAATGTTCATCGTTTTGGAAAAAAGTTTGTCGATTTTGAAAAAAGTTCATTGTTTTGAAAAAAAATCATAGATTTTGGAAAAAAGTTCGTCAATTTTGAAAAAAGTTCATCAATTTTGAAAAAAGTTCATTTTTTCTTAAAAAAATCATAGATTTTGTGGAAAAGTTCATCGTTTTGGAAAAAAGTTCATCAAATTTGAAAAAAAAGGTTCATTTATTTCGAAAATAGTTCATCGATTTTGAAAATAATTCTCTGAATCTAGAAAAAGTTCGTCATATTTGAAAAAAGTTCATCGGATTTCAAAAAAAAAGTTCATCGAAATTGAAAAGGAATTCATTGATTTCGAAAAAAGTTCACAGAATTTGAAAAAGGATGAGGAAAAAAGAAAAAGAAAAAACCGAACTGACGTAGATAATAAGTAAGTGGACCGAAATATCTATTAATGGAAGTGGTCATGGCCAGGTGGCTAGGACGAAGCGCTAGCTGCGATGAGGTTCTGGGTTCGATAACTAGTTCCAGCTAACTCCAGCGTGCGCCCATCCGTGCTCCCGCATATGTGGCATGATTTGATTGGAACAAAATAAGACCCGGTCCCACCCTTAAAATCAGAGAGGGGGGAGATGATTAGATTAAAAAGAAAAAAAGAGAAAAAGACAGTCACAGGATGGAGTGGGAGCACAGATGGGAACATGGATCCTTCGTAGAGTGGGCTGGGCTGGCCAGATAAGACTAGTCAAAATGTCAACGTGGCCCTTTTTTTTCCAGCTAAGCCAGCTCCTCTCGAGGGAGACCCATACGTCATAAACATGTTTAAAGCGTTCTTATCCGTCCATAAGTGGTCTACACAAAAAAACTTATCATAGACATTTTTTTTGTAAAGAAAAACAAATCATAGAATCATTTTTTCGGCAAACCCGTCCCTCGATGTGGTGGGTTCCTGCAATTCCTAGATCCGCAGAAGTTGCAGGCAGAGCATATGCGCATGTTGTGCTTGCGCTTTGGCCTACGAGAATCCGCCATATCTGACCTCTTGCTACGCTCGTCGGATCATCACCATGCTGGAGCTGACTTCGGCAATTAAAAACTAACAGAGGCCGGTGGAGCTAATCAACGAGCAGGCATCGCCATCGTGCTATCACAGGAGTCAAAACACGAAGACACCGACGCGGTCGGCACATGCACCCGCGCGGAAGCAGCATCGGATCGCACGCTACGTAGCTCCCAATAATGGCGCTACCTCCTCGTCTCCTTCTGGTGGCCCTTCTCCTCGTCGCCCTCACCGGAGAGGCGGACGCCGGTGGCGCTGGCCATGGCCACGCGCGCTACGACCGCGTCTTCAGCTTCGGTGACTCGCTCACCGACACCGGCAACTCGGCCATTCTCCCGGTCACCGCCGGGGGGCCCTTCACCAACCCGCCGTACGGGCAGACCCACTTTGGCCGGCCCAACGGCAGGGCCTCCGACGGCCGCCTCGTCATCGACTTCATCGGTAAAGATCATTTAATCACCGATCGGATCGTTCGTTGACCTGCACTACTATACTGATAATACAAGCTCACAATTATGTCTTGTGGGGATGCAGTGGAGTCTCTGGGGTTGCCGCCGCCAACTCCGTACCTCGCCGGCAAGACCGCGCAAGACTTCCGGCACGGCGCGAACTTCGCGGTGGGCGGCGCGACGGCGCTTGACCCGGCGTTCCTGCAGAGCAGAGGGATCACATCCTTCGTGCCGGTCGCTCTCAGCAACCAGACGAGCTGGTTCAACGGTGTTTTGCAGCTTCTCGACTCCACTGGCAACGGTATGCAATGTACTGTACATCACGGTCCTTGATTCATGAGATCCTTATTCGCAAAAAAAAAAGATTTATGAGATCCGCCAATTCATATTCTAGTACGGTCCATGATGACACGAGTTCACGTTTCGCAACGAGTCCTCAAAAACTTCTGATTAGGGGAGGGCTGTATGCTACAGGGCAGCGCAAGATCATGGCGAGCTCCCTCTTGTACCTGGGAGAGATCGGATTCAACGACTACTCTTTCGTCGCCGTCTTCGGCAACGGCACCGTGGGCCTGGCGCAGAGCCTGGTGCCGCACATCGTCGGCGCCATCCGTTCAGTCCTGACCGTGAGTAGAGTACTCCGGCCGGTCAACTCCGCTCGCCACACCCACCCTAGCTAATTAATTTTCAATTGCACCTCACCTGTCTCATTCTATGACGCAGGACGCGATCGGTGTTGGAGCGCGGACGATGGTGGTGGCGGGGATGATACCGATGGGCTGCGAGCCGGAGCTGCTGGCCATGCTACCCGGCGGCGGGGGCGACTACTACGACCGGGCGTCCGGCTGCATCGCGCGGTTCAACCAGCTCGCCCAGCTGCACAACCGCGCGCTGAAGCGCATGCTCTGTCAGCTCCGGCGAGACCACCCCGGCACGGCCATCCACTACGCCGACCTGTACCGCCCCATCACCGCGGTCGTATCCTCGCCCAGAAAATACGGTGCTGCATGTCACAGCCTTTCCTCTCTCCAGTTGATCCGCATGCCATCGGCTTCGGTTCTAACTAATGTATGGTTTTCCTTGGCGCGCATGGCATGTATATCTGTGGCAGGCTTCGGCGACATACCCTTGGCAGCGTGCTGCGGCGGCGGCGGCGGGCCGTACAACTTCAACTTCACCTTCTTCTGCGGCACTCCGGCGGCAACCGCGTGCGCCGACCCGTCGAGGTCCGTTTCGTGGGATGGGATCCATTACACGGAGGCTGCAAATAAGTTCGTTGCACACGCCATACTGAGGGGGTTGTAATGAGCCATCAACGAACAAAACACAAAGAAGGCCTGGACAACAACGGGAAAAAAATATGAGTTGTTCATAAATTATACTTACTTTTGTTATTTTTTTCTAAAGAAGGCAAAAGATTTGCCTTATTCATGGATTATAAGATGGGAAAAAAGTTTAAGGTTTGTGTAATTGTGTTGCAATCCCTAAATGTTACGACCCAAAACATAAAGGCCTACTCTCGTGGCATGACGGAATGCGCTGCACTAGTGCATAGCGGTTATGTTAAGGCCCTCTTATTGCACACCGAAACTGTATGTGATGACGTGAACCATCTCATGCAAAACTTTTTAATGTATCATCACAAAAAGTTACATCTAAAAAGTCGTGTGTTATGATGTTCGCAAGATTTTAATAGTAGAAAGTTTTTCAGGCTGCACGTTGACCTCTACCCATCGCATGAAATATTTAAAACATACACAAAGACAGTAAATAATAAAGGAACATATGTTCATAGGTTCTTAATTAACAAAATATGAAAACATTATTTACATAGGTAAAATGTGATAGAACTACATAGTGCTAGGCAACGTCCTCCACTTTGACGCTAGCTAAGTACGCGCGGGTGACATCCAAGCGGTCAACTACCGCGTCCACTGTTTCAATTGACTACGCCATGGTGGCTTCGGGGCAGCGACAATGTCGACTACTGCAATGAAATGGTGTGCAGCGGGGATGTGGTCGGGCCCAACAATTGCACGGGCCTCATACTCTACGGATTCAATGTCACGAGGAGGGCGTCAGCCAACTCAACCAACTCATCCAGGAAGACATCGTACCGGCCCCAGAGTTCCTCAACTCCATTATCCAGAGATGGAGGGTCGTGGACCTCCAACTCAAAACCGAAGAGTCATGGCTCAGGCATAGTCCCTAGGGCGATGGGGGTGGGAGGCACGTGCTCTGGTACGACTGGGTCGGGCGCAGGCTGTAGGGTGATGGGGGCAGGCTCTAGCACGATGGTGCTGGATGACGCAGGCTTTGACACAAGGTAGGTGGGCACTGGGACGATTGCCATTACAAGTGGGAGTAGCACATGCGCATGTTGACCAACCTCGCAGATTTGCTGGGGTATATATGGTACCTCTCGCCGGGAATGGGTGCCTTGATAGCCGAACAAGCACCTTAGGAATGGCTCTACTTGATAGTGGATGCAAGCGGGCCATCGTCCTGGCCATGGTCGTCATGCACATCCAAAAACAATAAAGTAGGTGGGGTTTGAACATCGCAATGGTTGCCAAGGACGAAATGTGTGTGATGAGTTGTGTGATGTCGTTTACACGATAACTAAGAAACAAGAGAGAATTCCTTATTTGACACTCCCTTAAAATCATGTTCCTTATTTGACACTGAAAAAAAATTCTTCCCTATATGACCTATAGTCTTAATTTCTTTCCCTATATGACACTCTAGTTCATTTTGTACACATGAAAATACCTTTTTACCCCTGTACATAATGTGACCAGAAATATGCAGCATTGAGCCTAATTATGGAAAATTCGTTTCTGAGAGTGAGCACAGCTGAACATGTTATCTCCTCTGTTGGTCTTTTTTGGGATGCGTGTGTATTCTGTATTCCTGAGCCTGAGCGCATGCATCCAATGTATTTAGAACGTATTCAGCTGTGGGTCTAGTTTCATGCAGTATGGTTTGTGAGTGCGACGTCGATCGACATTGATCATTGACGCTCTTAGCATTGGAGAAAAGAGGAAGAAACCAAGGCGGAGACCAAGTCCACGAGTAGGTGTGTGTGGGCGAGGTGGCCACTCCGGGCTCCGGCCGTGTTGCGGTTGCTATCCGGCCGGCTGACTCTGTCCGCCCACCCCGCCGCTCATCCAGGGGAAAATTCCTAAACGTAGTAGACTTGACCTGATTTTTTACCGGACGGCATAATTCAACAGACTCTTCGAAAGTGCGGGGGGTCAAACCAAACCACATGCTTTCTTGAGGTCAAAAGTTTACGTGACCTTGCACGTACGCACCTACGTACGTACGGTGCTCCTCGTGTTGCACAGTTGCATGGTGATGCATGCTGGCGTGCTCCCATATTTAACAAAATGTAGCATGGATCATTTCCACAGATATGCTACTGCAGGTATACAATCTAACCGGAACAGTAGCAAATCGACTGGCATGACAATACCAGCATATCTGATGTCACATATGGATAACTCGACTGATTTTTTTGGAACAACTATTATCTTGTACATATTTGTGGTCACATTATACATATGGGTAAAATGGTCTTTTCACGTGTACAAAATGCACTAGAGTGTCATATAGGGAAAAAAATTAAGACTAGAGATCATATAGGGAAGAAAATTTTCTCCAGTGTTAAATAAGGAACACAATTTTAAGAGAGTGTCAAATAAGGAATTCTCTCAAGAAACAATTATCTCCAATTTATCATCAATGCTCACACAGCTGGTTGATAAAACTGTGCATGTGAAGGAAATATGCTCTAGAGGCAATAAAAGTTATTATTTATATTTCCTTATATCATGGTAAATGTTTATTATTTATGCTAGAATTGTATTAAATGGAAACTTAGTACATGTGTGAATACATAGACAAATAGAATGTCACTAGTATGCCTCTACTTGACTAGCTCGTTGAATCAACGATGGTTATGTTTTCTAACCATAGACATGAGTTGTCATTTGATTAACGAGATCACATCATTAGAGAATGATGTGATTGACTTGACCCAACCGTTAGCTTAGCATGATGATCATTTAGTTTGTTGCTATTGCTTTCTCCATAACTTATACATGTTCCTATGACTATGAGATCATGCAACTCCCGAATGCCGGAGGAACACTTTGTGTGCTACCAAACGTCACAATGTAACTGGGTGATTATAAAGGTGCTCTACAGGTGTCTCCGATGGTGTTTGTTGAGTTGGCATAGATCGAGATTAGGATTTGTCACTCCGATTGTCGGAGAGGTATCTCTGGGCCCTCTCGGTAATGCACATCACTATAAGCCTTGCAAGCAATGTGACTAATGAGTTAGTTACGGGATGTTGCATTACTGAACGAGTAAAGAGACTTGCCGGTAATGAGATTGAACTAGGTACTGAGATACCGACAATTGAATCTCGGGCAAGTAACATACCGATGACTAAGGGAGCAACGTATGTTGTTATGCGGTTTGACCGATAAAGATCTTCATAGAATATGTAGGAACCAATATGAGCATCCAGGTTCCGCTATTGGTTATTGACTGGAGATGTGTCTCGGTCATGTCTACATAGTTCTCGAACCCGTAGGGTCTGCACGCTTAACGTTCTGTGACGATTTGTATTATGAGTTATGTGATTTGATGACCGAGATTTGTTCGGAATCCCGGATGAGATCGGGTACATGACTAGGAGTCTCGAAATGGTCGAGACGTAAAGATCGATATATTGGAAGGCTATATTCGAACATCAGAAAGGTTCCGAGTGATTCGGGTATTTTTTTGGAGTGCCGGAGAGTTACAAGAATTCGTATTGGGCCTTAATAGGCCATACGGGAAAGGAGAGAAAGGCCTCAAGAGTGGCCGCACCCCTTCCCCATTGACTGGTCCGAATTGGACTAGGGAAAGGGGGCGCCCCTTCCTTCCTTCTCCTTCTCCCTTCCCTTTTTCCTATTCCATGTAGGAGGTGGAATCCTACTAGGACTAGGGAGTCCTAGTAGGACTCCACACTTTGGGCGCGCCCTATGAGGGTCGGCCTCCTCCTCCCTCTATCCTTTATATACGTGGCCAGGGGGCACCCCATAGATACACAAGTTGATCATTGATCTCTTAGCCGTGTGCGGTGCCCCCCTCCACCATAATCCACCTCGGTCAAATCGTAGTTGTGCTTAGGCGAAGCCCTGTTCCGGTAGCATCATCATCACCGTCATCACGCCGTCGTGCTGACGAAGCTCTTCCTCGACACTCTGCTGGATTGTGAGTTCATGGGACGTCAGCGAGCCAAACGTGTGCAGATCGCGGAGGTGCCGTACTTTCGATACTAGGATCGGTTGATCGTGAAGACGTACGACTACATCAACCGCATTGTCATAACGCTTACGCTTACGGTCTACGAGGGTACGTAAACAATACTCTCCCCTCTCGTTGCTATGCATCACCATGATATTGCGTGTGCGTAGGAAATATTTTGAAATTACTGCGTTCCCCAACAGTGACATCTGAGCCAGGTTTATGCGTAGATGTTATATGCACGAGTAGAACACAAAGGAGTTGTGGGCGTGGGTATATACATATTGCTTGCCGTCACTAGTTGTTTCTTGATTCAGCGGTATTGTTGGATGAATCGGCCCAGACCGACATTACGCGTACACTTACGCGAGACTGGTTCTACCGACGTGCTTCACACACAGGTGGCTAGTGGGTGTCTGTTTCTCCAACATTAGTTGAATCGGATTCAATGAACAGGGTTCTTTCTGAAGATCAAAAAGCAATCACTATACCGTGTTGTGGTTTTTTAATGCGTAGGTAAGAACGGTTCTTGCTCAGCCCGTAGCAGCCACGTAAAACTTGCAACAACAAAATAGAGGACATCTAACTTACTTTTGCAGGGCATATTGTGATGTGATATGGTCATGACATGATGCTAAATTTTATTGTATGAGATGATCATGTGTTGTAACACAGTTATCGGCAACTGGCAGGAGCCATATGGTTGTCGCTTTATTGTATGAAATGCAATCCCCATGTAATTGCTTTACTTTATCACTAAGCGGTAGCGATAGTCGTAGAAGCAATAGTTGGCGAGACGACAACGATGCTTAGATGGATATCAAGGTGTCAAGCCGGTGATGATAGAGATCATGACGGTGTTTTGGAGATGGAGATCAAAGGCACAAGATGATGATGGCCATATCATGTCACATATTTTGATTGCATGTGATGTTTATCCTTCATGTATCTTATTTTGCTTAGTTTGGCGGTAGCATTATAAGATGATCTCTCAATAAATTTCAAGGTAAAAGTGTTCTCCCTGAGTATGCACCATTGTGATAGTTCGTCGTGCCGAGACACCACGTGATGATCGGGTGTGATACTCTCTATGTTCACATACAACGGGTGCAAGCCAGTTTTGCACACGCGGAATACTCGGGTTAAACTTGACGAGCCTAGCATATGCAAATATGGCCTCAGAACACTGGAGACCAAAAGGTCGAGTGTGAATCATATAGTAGATATGATCAACATAGTGATGTTCACCATTGGAAACTACTCCATCTCACGTGATGATCGGACATGGTTTAGTTGATTTGGATCACGTGATCATTTAGATGACTAGAGGGATGTCTATCTAAGTGGGAGTTCTTAAGTAATATGATTAATTGAACTTTAATTTATCATGAATTTAGTCCTGATAGTATTTGCATATCTATGTTGTAGATCAATAGCTGCAACGTAGCTCCCCGTTTATTTTTGATATGTTCCTAGAGAAAAACTATGTTGAAAGATGATAGTAGCAATGATGCGGACTAGGTCTGTGATCTGAGGATTATCCTCATTGTTGCACAGAAGAATTATGTCCTTGATGCACCGCTAGGTGATGGACCTATTGCAGGAGCAGATACAGACATTATGAACGTTTGGTAAAGCTCGGTATGATGACTACTTGATAGTTTAGGCACCATGCTTTACGGCTTAGAACCGGGACTTGAAAAACATTTTGAACGCCACAGAGCATATAAGATGTTCTAAGAGTTGAAAATGGTATTTCATACTCATGCCCGTGTCGAGAGGTAGAAGACCTCTGACAGTATTTTGCCTACAAGATGGAGGAGAATAGCTCGACTAGTGAGCATGTGCTCAGATTATCTGGGTACTACAATTGCGTGAATCAAGTGGGAGTTAATCTTCCAGATTAGATAGTAACTGACAAAGTTCTCTAGTAATTATCACCAAGTTACTAGAATGTAGTGATGAACTATAATATGCAAGGGATAACAAAAGTAATTCCCAAGCTCTTCGCGATGTTGAAATCAGCGAAATGTAGAAATCAAGAAATAACATCAAGTGTTGATGGTTAACAAGACCACTAGTTTCAAGAAAAGGGCAAAGGGAAAGAAAGAGGAACTTCAAAGAAGAATATCAAGCAAGTTGCTACTTCCATGAAGAATCTCAAAGCTAGATCCAAGCATGGAACTGAGTGCTTCTACTGCAAAGGAAATGGTCACTGGAAGTGGAACTGCCCTAGA